AAGAAGAAAAGAAGGAAATATTTACTTACGTCTTTGCAAGCACAGGGCCTTGTAAATAGTATAGGTACTCAATAAATGTTAAATGAATGAATGTTCCACAAAATTATAGAAACTGCTGTACAATTTGTCTTAACTTTGTTGAGAATATTTTAAAGCAAATTTTCATATACTTTAGAAAGTAAAACATTGCATGTAATTATATCTTCTCTCAAAGTGATTTCTATTACACAAAATGCAGATGTTTAGAAGTTGTTAATTATGTTGATTAAATCTATTCTGGTTTTAAAACGATGTTACTTTTTTTAAAAATATATTTTATTGATTCTTTACAGAGAGGAAGGGAGAGGGATAGAGAGTTAGAAACATCGGTGAGAAAGAAACATCGATCAGCTGCCTCCTGCACACTCCCCACTGGGTATATGCCCGTAACCAAGGTTCATGGCCTTGACCGAAATCGAACCTGGGACCCCTGAGTCCACAGGCCAACGCTCTATCCACTGAGTCAAACCGGTTAGGGCACTTATGTTACTTTTTAATAAAATATCTTTTTTATTGATTTCAGAGAAGGGAGAGGAAAGAGAGAGATAGAAACATCAGTGATGAGAAAGAATCATTGATTAGCTGCCTCCTGCATAGCCCCCTAACGAGGATCGAGCTTGGAACCCGGGAAAGTGCCCTTGACCAGAATCGAACCTGGGACCATTCAGTCCGCAGGCCAACGCTCTATCCACTGAACCAAACCAGCTAGGGCAAAATTATGTTACTGTTAAAAGGTGTTGTTTTATGTTAAAACACAGAAATCGGCAGTTACTTTTTTTTTTTTTTTGCACTCCATTAGGTATGTAATGCCTTTCAGCATTCATTCTACAAACATTGAATACCTACGCTATGCTGTGTTTAACATGTTCAAGAACTGGAGTCTGTGGCCAATGATGAGATCACAACAACACATTCCCTTCACAGTGCATTACGATTTACCGCTTAAAGCCAAATGCTCAGTGTCACAGGGCCAAGGGCTGTACTCCATCAGTGGATACAATTAGAAGGAGCATATTCTTTCCAGAGAAATTGTTAATAGCTTGCCCAGTGCTATTCAGCCAGGAAGGAAGGGAGTTGGGATGGGAATCTAGATGTTTCCTCTCCAGCATTTATTATCGCTCCAGATTTTATTTAAAGTGTCTGGTTCCCATTCCAGCCACCTGAGCACTAACTGTCTCAGCTCGGCCTCCTTCCTTGCTGTGCCTTTGAATCCTAGACAAGGAACGCCGTCTTCACCTGCAGCCACGCCTCAGGTTCCTGCTAGTCCTGTTAGTCACCTCCTGGTTCTTCCCCACGGAAGCTGTGTCACCTTTTTCTTGATCCTTTCCCTCAGCACTGTTTGATGTGCTCTTGTCAATAAAGCTATTTTTACAGCTGGGTTCTCAGCACTCATGCAACTCAAAGTCTAGAAATACTCCCAACCTACAGCCATCCCACAATCCCGGGCTTCCTCACACAATGCAAAAATCGTGGCTCTCAAACTAATATATCTGAATTTACAAAACTGATTAAGAAAGGATATACACACCCATGTACACGCACACACACCCATGTACACGCGTGCACACCCATGTACACGCACGCACATCCATGTACACGCACACACACCCATGTACACTCATGCACACCCATGTACACGCACGCACACCCATGTACATGCGTGCACACCCATGTACACGCGCGCACACCCATGTACACGCACGCACACCCATGTACACGCACGCACACCCATGTGCACGCACGCACACCCATGTACACGCACGCACTGAGCAAGGCCCTTGTGCTTCAGGTCAGGCGAGGGCATCTGAGACGTGCAGCTCTCCCCTGCCCCAGTCGCCTCTGTCCTGTGTCTGTCACCTGGGAGGAGGCCACAGCGAGGCCTCACCTCCACTCGAGGGCCGCACACACTCCCTCCCAGCCCCCTTCCACCCAGGACAGGTGCCGTGGCCTGGAGCCTGGCCACGGGGGCATTGGGGGCGGGGGGACCTGAGCTGCCTGTGAATGAGCCCTTGGCCCTGCCTCCCGGGACTAACCAAAAGAAGAAGAAGAAGAAAAAAAGAAAGGATATGCATGCACTTCACAAAAGAGTTGGTAAGAAGGGATTTTTTTAAAATTTATTTTTATTGTAGACAGTATTACAGATGTCTCCCATTTTTTCCCTCCCTTTACCTTCCTCCACCCAGCTCCTGCCCTACCCCAGGCCTTCACCGCACTATTGTCTGTGTCCATGGGTTATGCATATATGCATATAAGCTCTTTGGTTAATCTCTCCCCCAACCCCGTCCTTCCCTCTGAGATATGCTTGTCTGTGTAGTCTGTTCCATGCATCCACGCCTCTGGACCTATTTTGTTCATGTAGACCAATAGAGAGAGATTCAAAAGGGACCCCGGGTTCTTCTTATTCTGTTAACCAGTCATCTATTAATCTCCTTGCTACCTCCTTTAGTTGTTGCATTGTCTGCATATGGATATTTCTATGAGGTTCATAGCTTTCATCAGACCTCAAAAAAGAGTAAATGATCTCAGATTGTCAAAACCTCAGATCATGTGCTCTTGCACTTTAAATAGGACTATTCACCTGTACAACATTCGTGTCCATCTTTTGTATAAATGGCTTCAGTGATTAATATACCAGAACTGAATTGATCTACCCATTCAGTGCTAATCATGTCACTTTTTTTTTCTATTTCTAAATTTTTAAGAGAATCAGTTTGAGCCATACCCACACAATTATTGGAAAGTCCATTATCAGTCACTTTGGGATTTCTCTTTTCTTTCTTTCTACTCTACCAGGATTCCCAGAGCCTCTTATGATCTAAGTGTTGGTTGTTTTCCAGATAGTGATTCAGTGTTTATGATATGCCAGGTCCTAGTTCTTGTTCTGGGGCTACAGCTTGTTGTTGGGGAACAAGACAAAGCTGCTGTCCTCGTGGAACTTGCTTTCAGTTTTTAAGGGGGGTCTTCATATGTGAAGCTCTAAGGCTATGGTGGCCATGGCGGCCCTTGTCCTTTGTGGCCACATGATGCTGCAACTGGGTGCTGATCCCAGCCATCTGTCTGCCATTACTACTCTGTCCTGTCCAGGTTGGATATGGCCTTCACCAAGGCCAGCTCAGTAGCAACTCTGTACCCCTAGGCTCAGCCTGTTCTAGAACAACTCATACAGACCCCTGTGGTCACACTGGTCTTAATATTTGGCTTCCCCTCTGGAGAAGAACAATGTTCCATTCTTTCTTGGTGCATCCAAGGCACTAAAAGGACAAAGTACAAGATAAAGTCTCAACTGGTCACTCAACTACAATAACCTTTAAAAGTGTTCCATGGTGCCCTAATTGGTTTGGCTCAGTGGATAGAGCGTCGGCCTGTGGACTGAAAGGTCCCAGGTTCGATTCTGGCCAAGGGCATGTACCTTGGTTGTGGGCACATCCCGAGTAAGAGGTGTGCAGGAGGCAGCTGATAGATGTTTTTTTCTTATCAATGTTTCTAACTCTCTATCCCTCTCCCTTCCTCTCTGTGAAAAATCAATAACTGTTCTCCTTATGTATAGGCAAGAAAACTGAGGCTCAGAGTGTTAACATTAACCCTGGAAATAATATCTGATGATTGTACATTGAATGAATTTTCTCTCTCCTGAAACCATCGTGTAGCTCTTTGTTTTCAAATAGTCAAATGGCCAACTTACAATAGCTTCCATTACTTAAATTGTTAATATGGATCCAATCCTTAAGATTAAAGAGAAGGACTAATTCACCTCTTCTGATGCATATTCTGAACTTGAGCAATTAATGTTAATCTTCTCTCACCAGGTCTTACTTCATGCATGACATTGTTTCCTAACTTTTTAAAAGCCACACCCTTTCCTTTGTGAAAACATTGTTTAGTCTACGGTGTCACATTAATTACATTAACTTTAAATTTAACTTCTAATTGAGATCTGTTTCTCAAAGCCTTTTGACTATTGAAGTTGGTGCCTCTGCATGTGAAATACTAATCTTCCCCATGAATTAGTGATTTATGCACTAATACAACTGCAGCCATTTTCCAATAAATACCTGTCACATCTTCCTGGTATGATCCTGCTTGGTTGGCATCACAGGGGACCTGTCGCTATAGTCACAATGCTCTTTCTCTTCTCTGCGTTACTGGTTTTTAAAAACTACTTGGACAGAGTGAACCTTTCTCAGTAAACCACACCTGAAAATCCGAACTTGTTAGCAAGCTATTGATTCATGAGTTTAAAAATAAAATCTTTGAAAGCTAAAGCAGTTACAAGGTGATTCTGACTTAAAGGGAGTTCTTCTAGGCTTACACATGACGTAGGGATTTCAAAATCCTGAGATTCCCACAAACAAGTTAAACTGACAGCAAAAGTGTATGCTGTGATCATTCAGCCCCCTCCGTGCACATATAAGACACATTTCTGGAAAGCCATATCAAAATTCAGAACCCAAGTAATACTTAAGGGTTGGGGATGTGGAAAAGAATTTTTACTTTCCACTTTATATCTTTTTGTGTTGTTAGTTTTGTTCTTGTTTCACTTTTATTTTATTTTATTATTATTATTTTTTATTGTTTTATTGCTTAAAGTATTACAAAGGGTATTACATATGTGTCCTCTCCCCCCTCTCCCCTCCGCCCCCCGCCCTTGACAATCCCCTGATTGTTTTACTTTTATAACTTAACATAAAACTCACCCTTGGAAAGTGTGCAATTTAGTGTCATTTATTACATTAACAAAGTTGTGTAACCGTCACCACTATCTGATTCCAGAATATGCTTATCAACCCAAAGGACAACCCATGAACCATGAAGCAGTCATTCCCTATTCCTCCCCCCACTGCCACCCCTCAGCAGCCACTAATTTGCTTCCTGCCTCTCTAAGTTTGCCTATTCTCGATGTAAATCATGCAAATGGGCATATACAATATGGGATCTTTTGTGCCTATGTTTTTTCCATGTAGGATAATGTTTTCAAGGTGTATCCATATTGCAGTATGTGAGAACTCCATTCCTTAGTCGATGGACATTTGAATGATTTTCACCTTTGCCTATTGTCAACAGTGCTGCTATGAACATCTGTGTACCAGTTTTTAAAACTAACTTATTCTTTAAAATCTTTTTATGGCTATTTATTGCTTACCTAGAGGATAAATCCAGGCCTGGCCTTGCCGACTGCTTGCCCAGTCTTCTATGTTGTTTATGCCTTTGCATCTTTGTCTCTGTTCCTCCTGCACCTTTCATCTGCTGGATTAATACCTTGCAAGACCAATTAAGGGTCCCTTTCTCAATGAGGTCATTACTGACATGGCGCCAGCCCCTCTGTTGACAGGCAGAGCCAAGTCCTGGCTCCTTTGTGCCCCACTTTCTGCTTGGCACCTCTTTATGGCTCTTACTTTTTATCTCATGAGTCTTCCCTTTAACCCAACTTTGAAGACAGGGGCTACAACTTTATCACTTTCAGATCCATGACTCTTAGCACATGGTGGTTACTCAGATGAATATGCGTTAGATAAATGGTGCTTGGATTTTTTTTCACCACAGGTAACCAGGTGGGAAAAATTCACTTTAGGAGTCAGAAAAATGTATAGTTTGCTAAAAATATCTCCCAAATAACCAATTATTAGAATAAGAACTCTGGGTATTTCTAATATGGAGCTGAATACAACATATTTGGTTACTGGGTGCTGCTGTTAGTTTCATGTCCTACTGAATGATTAAGAACCCTGGAAGAGTAGATTTTATTGGAATTCTGAGACCTCAGAAAGTTCTCAAATGCCTTTATCGTGGACTATGTTGAAGATCTGGAATAATGTAGATTACAAAGGCCTGCTTACTCCCTTTGGTGTTTATAGTATCATTTGTGACATGTTCACATCTTCATAAAATGGCAATTTGCTGAAACTGTTGTTTGTGAATTGCCACTTAAAATGTTCAGTCCTGGAACATGGTAGAGCCTGCATAAACAATAGCTCTTATGGCCCATCTCCTGTCCCTCGCAGTGCTTAGTACTTTAGCACAAAATCAGCATTCGCGAAATGCTTCGGAATGGATAGAATGGACTGCTGGGCTCTGTGTGCTATTCCTTTTGGGGCACAGGTAGTCCTGGCCAATATGTGTGAGGGTGCACACAAGAAGTTACATTGTTAAGGTCTTCACCGGGTGGGGCGGATTTTTCCTCTGTGCTATTTCACCTAGAAGTCGTGTTCTCCTGCCATTGGCAGGGTGGTCCCATGGATGCCCTGACCCTTTTTTGAAATGCAAAGCACAGAAGAAGCCCCTCCAGGTCCCTAGCCTGGTGGGGGCTTGTGAACCTCCTTAAGTGTGGACTCACCCGCCCTGTGTAACAGTGTGCTCAGCGTTCCTAAGAACTGATAATAGCTGAAAAGGACCAAAACCTTCCACGAGTTAAGGATAAATGGTGAGCAAAAAAGGGGCAGGTCCTGCCTTACTCTCACTCAGAGTCAATCTACACTAATAAAAGAGAAAAATGGTAATTGGCGTACGACGCTACCCTTTTCATTGGCTAATCAGGGCTATATGCAAATTAACTGCCAACTAAGATTGGCAGTTAACTGCCAACAAGATGGCGGTTAATTTGCATATGTAGGCACAATGCAGGGAGGAGAAAGGGAAAGCAGGAAGAAGCCCCCTGCCACTGACAGTGATCGGAAACCCAGGGGGAAGCTAAGAGCTGGGGGGCAGGAAAAAGGCGGCCCTGGGGACACCTTTGCCCTGCCCCCCAGCCATGATAGGAGAATCAGGTGCCTTTTCTGAACCTGGCCAGTGATAGCAGGAAGTAGGGGTGGAGCCAGCGATGGGAGCTGGGGACAGTCGAAGCTGGCAGTCCTGGGAGCTAGGGGTCCCTTGCCTAGGCCTAAAGCGAAGCCCACGATCGCGGGGCCACTGCAGCTGCAAGTCCCCGCTGCCCGGGCTGGATGCCTCAGCCGGAAGCGTCCTGCAGGGGCAGGGGCGGAGCCTGCAACCGCGGGGAGCTGGGGGTCCTCTGCCCAGGCCTGACACCTCTGGCGGAGGCGTCAGGCATGGGCAAGGGGCCGATCCTGCGATTGGAAGTTGATGGGGGTCAACGCCTGAGGGCTCCCAGTATGTGAGAGGGGGCAGGCTGGGCTGAGGGACCCGAGGGCTGGGGGCAGAACCAGTGATGGGGGGAAAAGAGGGTCCCCTGCCCAGGCCTGACACCTCTGCCCAGGGTCCCCTGGCCAGGCCTGATCCTGCGATTGGAGGGTGATGGGGGTCAACGCCTGAGGGCTCCCAGTATGTGAGAGGGGGCAGGCTGGGCTGAGGGACACTCCCCAACCCCCACCCAGGGCACGAATTTCGTGCACCGGGCCCCTAGTAATCAAATAAGCATCGGTATGTATATAATTTCTAAAACAGGAAAAGTGCAGAGTGTTATGGAAGTGTGGAACCAGAGGACATGGCTTATCTTGAGGAGATAAATGCTATCTGAGCTGAGTCTGAAGGTTAAATGCGAGCTGACTAGGCAGAAAAAGATGAGGGGAAGGCTTGTGCAAAGGGAGAGGAAGTAGGAACAGGTGTGGGATATTGCTGAAGATGGAAAAGGAGGCGGTTGAAGAAAGAAATGAAGCCAGGGAGATAAACAATGGCCATTATTGTTGATGTTAGGAAGACTTACATGGATGGAGAGAGAGGGTGGTGATTGGCTGGGTTTTGGAATGGGAGGAAGATAAGGACATGCAGAGAGTGACCATAGACAACTCTTTTGAGATAACAAATATCTAATATTTTTATTCATGATATGGATACTAAAGTGCCTTCAACAGTAATAAAATACAAATGCAGTACTTATGTTTTATTTCCCTAGGTAAGGACTTTTGTACAAACATTTGCACTGGTAAAAGTTATGTAAGCATGCTGGTATTGCCCATTTGCAAATATCTGAGTGGAAGCCGAAGTACTGGCATCCTGCATGTGCCTGAATTGAAATGAGTTGCAGCCTCCTTAAAAAGTATTTTACTGTCTTATCTCAGAAGTATAATTTAGCATCTCACTGCACTGGAAGTCTTGTTATTTAGTCAGAGTGAAGCTCTTTTCATTTCATTAAGATCAAATAGGGAAGGCATAATTCTTCAATAAATTTGAGATTATTTTTGAAATTAAAACAAACAAAACCAGATAAGACGGTAGAACCAGATGTTTTCTGTATTAAAAAATACATTTTGGTTCTAGGGAATCATTTTTGGACTCTGCCTTCTCCAAGGGTTTGAGGAAACCTCACCCTCTTCATCCTTGCTGGGTGGATGACTGTACCAGAAACTTTAATCCGGCTAAAAAAGCAACATATAAATGACTCATATTAAGGAGGAAAACTACATCCCTCATCCGTAGGAATGGGGGTCTGTGCAATCATTCATTTTTTCTTTCTCTGTAGGAAGAAGAAAAACAAGACTAATTCTAGATATGCCACTGGGATTAGAATAAAAATTAAAAAACTATAAGTGTAATCTAGATCGTATTGGATGCTTCAAACATGCCATGTCATTGGGTAGATAGAGTGAGAGGACAGTAGGAAGAAAAGATGTGGAAAGGAAATGATGTGACAATTATGGCAATAGAACCACACACCAGTTTACATTTTCCCATGTCTTTGGGCTTCTCCATCTCTTTTTTCACATCCTGAACACCCTTCCCCCTTTTTCACCCCTATATATACCTTATCCATCACCTCCTCAAAACAACAACAAAACAAAACAAGACAAGACAACTGATTTTCTAGTCTTCTCTAGAAATGTCCTCCCTTCTCTGGAGTTTTCCAGCTTCGTCGGTAGTGCCAATTTGGCCATTAGAGAAACATGTCACCATGCATTGTCTTCAGTTTCCTATATGCACGTAAATTTTATTCCCGCAGCTGAAAAATAAACTCTTGAAAGATGAGGGTTATTTCTTACACATTTAGCTGAATCCTTAGCAATTTGATAGCATCTGTGTACATTTAAACAATCTGTACCGTCTGGGGCTGTTATCAGTTGAAATACATTACTGAACATGAGGAAAGGTAGGCCAAGAAGCATGCTTTTTATTTTTTTCACATTTACTAATTCTGTTTTTATTGAAACAATTGAGGTTAAGTGAAGACATCATGAATTTCTTTAGCTCGCACCTGCTCGACTAAGGGTACTTTCCTACATAACCACAATACCATTATCACACTTTAGAAAATTAACAATTATTTCCCAATATCCTTGCATGACTCATAATCCATGTTCAGATTTTCCCAACTGTCCCTATTACTTCTTTTTTTTTTCTTTTTTTTTCTTTTTTTTTAATTTTATTTTTTATTACAAAGGGTATTACATATGTGTCCATTTTTTTCCCCGCCCTAGACAGTCCCCTAGCCTCCCCTATTCCCTAGTGTCTTGTGTCCATTGGTTATGCTTATATGCATGCATACAAGTCCTTTGGTTGATCTCTTACCGAGACCACAGTTTTCTAATCCATTCATCTACTGATGGGCACTTAGGCTGTTTCCAGATCTTAGCTATGGTGAATTGTGCTGCTATGAACATAGGGGTGCATATATCCTTTCTGATTGGTGTTTCTGGGTTCTTGGGATATATTCCTAGAAGTGGGATCACAGGGTCAAATCCTATCACTTCTTTATAGCTCAAACAAAAAACAGAATCCAATCAAGGTTTATGAATTTGTTGTTATGCTTCTTTTGTCCTTTTAAAAATATTTTCTTACTGATTTTTAGAGAGAGGAAGGGAAAAGGAGAGAGAGAAAAACATAGATGCAAGAACAAAGCATTAATCAAGTGTCTCTTGCACCCTCACTGCCAGGGATTGAGGCTTAAACCTGGGCATGTGCCCTGCCTTGGAATCGAACCAGCAACCTTTTAGTGCACGGTACCACGCCCAACCTACTGGGCCACACCAGCCAGGGTTCTTTTGTTTTTTTAAACGTAGAAGTCCCTGTTTGGGGGGGAGGGGGAGTATATATTTCAAAAAGTGTATTTTAAGCAACTTCCTGTCAAATCTTGGGTTTCTCCTCCCCTCCTCTGTATGCAAGGATTTGATTGGCATGCATCTGCCACAGGCCCTTGGCATGCACAGGTGTGACCTTCACAGATGACCCT